GGTGGGGAAGCACACCCGCCCTTGGAGTTAGTGTGGTGGTTGGTCAGACGGGTGGGCGGGGGGGGGCGGGGGGTGGTGGCGGGGGGGGGGGGGGGGGGGGGGGGGGGGGGGAGTAGTCTCGTCTGATTACGTCCCTAAAAAATTGTATTGTAGATTTCAGAGTTCTTTCATCAAGAACATGATTTTTGACAATAGGGTAAATCTTTTCCGAAAAAGCAAACACTTCTGATATCATGTTTAGTTACAAAAAAATCATAAATAAAACTACATAATAAAAAGATCCAAGTAATTCTTTAGAATCTATATAAAGCTCTGAAAGAAATTGTAATATTTCTTAAGACTAAAAAAAACGTCTTCAGAAAACAAATAGCCGCTTGTTAAAATCAAAGTTATAATGATATTACAACTCAGACGGTAATTCAAATATTCATCAACAGACGTTTTTTTTTATTATTCTTTTCTTCTATTGGTTAGATTCGACCATAGGACATCGTTCTTTATTCTTTTATTTTCTATGACTAAATCCATTCATTCAAAACTTTTATCAGTTGTACCTCAGTATATTTTATTTCAAAGTGTTTTACACTGAAATATCTATAACATCTTGCTCTTCACTTATATTGCGAAAAAGAACATTGAACACTTGATTATAAAAATTTGGATAGAAAGTACAAGCACGATGACAATCAGGTGTAAAATTAATTTCTAATAATTTTGGTTGTACTTTATTATCAATCATTTCAAGCATTAAATCAGCTGCATATAAAGCTCGTGATGATAAACATGATGCAATACCAAATGGTGGTTCTTCTATAGTTGCACATTGAAATGCTTCTCTAAACATTTGAAATATACGTTGTTCAACAATTGACCATGTTTGATTATTTTCACCATATTGTTCATTATACATTGATATAAATGTTTGACAATTCATTTGTCGTAAAAATGCATTTGGTCGATAATTCATAACAGTAAAATGTGTTTCATAATCATCTAATTCATTCATCGAAAATGGCTTATTTGCAAAACGAAGCCAAAAAATTTTATGAACATATAATTTTAATGGACGTATACTACGTAAAAGTAGAACATAACGAACATCAAATTTAACATGCTGATTTTCCATTTCAGGTATTCTTAATAGAACAGGTGAAGAAATATATTTGCATGCAATTTTTGGGCCGGATTCAGGTAAACGAATAATCATATCAAATGTATTTGTTACGGACATATCAATTGAACGTGTTAGATTTATTGGTTTTATTATCCATGTATTATCAAGTTGTTGATCTTCACGATACTAATAATTAAGAAAAAACAAACGATAAAAAAAAAAGAATGTCAACTATTGTAAAATTTACTTGAAAATAAATAGCAAATTGTGGTAATTCATAGGTGAGATTAAATGTTGTTGCTAACCATGGAGGACTTCCATGTGGATCAATATACGGATCATTATCAGATGATGATGATGATGAACTAAAAGAATTTAATGATATTAAGAAATAACAGAGATGATTAAGGAGCTGTGAGGCCATATTTTTGTGGATCTAGACTCAGTCGAATTTTTTTCTACTGATATCTAGAATTGTCTGTGCACATGATTAAGTAAATAATCAAGGTTTTGCGCTATTTATTGACTATTCGCACAAGAAAAAAAATCAACGTACAATTATTTCTTATTGTTCACTTTCTCATCACTTGATGCTTAATAAATTAGAACTTTTTGCGACTGTTTATCAAACCAACAGTAACATCGATATCTTCAGCTACATTTAGTGAGACGAGATTAAGCAAGAATATCTTCTGTGCAATAAATGTAGAAAGCTGTGAATCTATTTTTTTTGTGTATCCGAACGCGATGAATCCAGTAGGACCTGAAAGGATTTGCAGCTTCCTAATGATGATATGTGATAGTTATGTTTTAAAGCGAAAATTTTCTCAATAAACGTTTTCTTGTTAAGTAATAAAATTTTTATCAAAGATTCAACAAATAATCCTAACTTTTCATTCGAAATAAACAGAAGTAGAAAATTGTTCTTTTTGAATTATTACACATTATGCTAAATGTTTTAAGTCAAGCTTCACACAAGACAAAACAACAGTTCTATATGAGATAATTAATCATTTCATTCTGTTCAATTTTGAGAGAGTTCGTATGAATTCATCAAAAATAAAAAAAAAGGTTTAATCTCGCCTTTATTAGTTAAAAACTATTTTTAACCTTGAATCCGATCTAAAAAAAAACTGACACGTATCAGACACTGTTGTGAAACATAAACTCACAAATCATATTGAAATTCGACTCCCTTAATATATGTATTAAAGGGAAAAAAAAACACCACTAATCTTATTAGATGATATCACTATAATATAAATATAAAAGTTTCACCCTACATAATTTATAAAAATCTTTACTTCTTATACAATCTATATTAAATTTCTATTAAAACTACATTCATTATCAATTGACACAGACGTTCAAATGTTAAGTAAAATCGATTCTGTCATGTTTCGAATTCAATACAATTTTTATATCGAGTAAATCTAATTGAGTCTATTCTATTAAAATATTATTTTACATGGAGAAATTGCTTAGTAAATAAACGTTCTATATTTTCTTAATAAATAACTTCTTATATCAAATATCTCATTCAGTTTCCTTTGATAAATAATCAAAATATATAAATCTCACTTACCCATATAATGATTTCCATCGTCTTGCACTGAGTGCTAATAATTCTTTGTTTGTAACAATATTTTCAAATGGAAATTGATTAATTAATTTATTACCTAAAGTTTCATAACGAAAATCTTTGAGTTGTTTCATAACAAATAAAATATCTGCTTGATCAGGATTATCAATTAATTGATAATGTTTATCAGTTAAATATTGTTTAACTAGTTCATGATCAGTATAAACTTTCCAAATATAATCATTATCATTTTTTATTGATTGACTTATAATCGAATTTTTATCATATAAATCATTTTGATGACATTTTTCATATATTTCAAGATTATTTTCAAGTTTTTTATTAAATATTTCTGAATTATTTTCTATCATTAAATTTCGAAGAAATATTTTACGATCATTTATATGTTCCCATGGTAACAATCGAATACGACGATCTAATGTATCTTTATTATCGTAGACAAAATTACGAAAAATTTCCGTATATGATTGATCAATACGAACAATTGGATAGAGAATTGTAAACATTGTTTGATTAGGTGCAAAGAAGAATGATACACAACGAACATTCGCATATCTATTCGAGTGTCGTATTGATGAACCCAATTCATCCATTATATACCTACATAAATATAAATAAGTTTAGTTTATTAAAATAATATTAGTGGAAACCAGAAACTATTGAGATTTATTTTAACTACTAGACTTTTAATAGTTTATGATGCATTATAGTGAACGTTAAATTGAATGGATGTTTATGAGATGAGCCCTTATCTTTATTAAAATGTTACAATGAATAATCAGAAAATAAAAAATACGAATTCTTGAGTTTGTATCAGTCATATTGCTTTTTATAATTATCGTATGACATATTTACATTTATTCATATGACTAGACGTATAAGACGAAATGTGGATCAGTGGTGACCAAAATTTTTTGATAAAATTTTGAAAATATTTTTTAATTTCGAGAAATTTGGAAAATGAAAAAGAAAGAAAACGATGTTGAAGAGCAGCTTATTGACAAGACACCAGATGCTAACATCTCCAATAACTGATTTAGGACGTGAGAAATTTTTAAAAATCAATTACTTATTTTTATGTTGTGGGGTGGCTCAATCGATCGACTTACATCTCTACATATGATGAAGAGTTCAATTGTATATTTTCCTTCCTTGATTCTCTTCTATAACTTTGAACTTAAACAACGACATTGTAGTCATTAAGAAAAAATTTCATTTATCAATAATCGTTGTCTTTGGAAACGGAACTATTCTTTTTTTTTTCGGATGATCCATTGTTCATAACTGTACATAAAGATAGAACAATCGATCTCGCATTATTCATAGTCTAATCTCTCCAATTGACTAAATAAAGTTTTACTAACATACGCAACACAGTATTGAAGTATGAGGATAAAAATTTAGAGTCTAGTCCTCTCACAGATCATGACAGATACCTTAGCAATACTCTCCCTCGCCTCACGAATATAGACTGCCGAATTCAAAATTCTTTAGTCCGGGTTCAACTAGATTCAACATCAACTCGATAGACTTCAGTCACATATCATATATTAATAACGTCTCATTATAATATATGAACTACTCCCTTATTGCATTTTTGAAGGACTAAGTAAAAAAGATGGTGAAGAAATGTGTTCCAAAAAAGATGAAATAAAATAATCTTCTTATGATTAACAAGAGCAACTGCATTGTGTTTTACATTTTAATCACGCAAGGCTTATGCTAGCATCTTTTTATCTCTAAAAATATGTTTTTCGTTTTTTTCGAAATATTTGAATATCAATCAAACCTACCAATATGGTTCATATGCTTCTTCACAATCTTGCTGTGGATCAATTTGTGTTGATGTTAATGTATATGTTTGATTATATTTCCACATACGTTGTAAAATAACTTCAATGCCATCTTCTTTTGTGTCTGCATTAACATTCATTAATAATGCCATACGTTCATATAACTTTGGTATATTCATAAGATTACTTCGTGCATCTTTTATTCTATATGTCCAAGCATGATCAATAAGAAATATAGCATTTTCATCATTATGCGGATCTAATACAACATTTTCTAATGTTGATACATAATATCGATGTTCAGGATTAAAAATTCTTTCTAATTCATCATCATCATCATCAACAGGACATAATTGAAAATATGATCCACTATCAAATATTTCATTTTTCATTTTTTCATATAAACGTCGATAGAAATGTTTCGGAATACTATTAACTACAAGTTGAAATTCATGTGTTTGAAGAAAATTTTCATATTCATCGTTATTTGCCATGATCTAGAAAGAATTCATTCTTAATGTATAAATCTTCTTTTTTTTTTTTTCGTTTTTTCATTCACAACACAGGATAATCCAAATAAACATTAATAACAATAATGAAAAAAAAAAAAGAAATTCTCATGTATGCACGCGCACAGAATATGTAATAAAAAAGAAAAAAAAAAAAGGAAAAATGATAAAAAGCAGCGTGCATATAACTGACTTCTTTAATTTATGTCTATTTAATTTGAATAGAATCGAAGGGAGAGAAAAAAAAAGAAATTTGAACATCGTTAATAACACATCAATTAGTAGCCAAATGAGAACAAAAAAGAATTCTATGTTGTATACATACTCTTCGACAAACTGTTTGAAAAAGAAGAAAAGAAAAGAAAAAAAAAAAGAAAAATTCAAAAAAGTAGATCAGTCGTTGTGGACATTGAACTCCATTGTATATTATTTGTCATATCAAAATTTGATTTTTGCTGTTTTAAAATAGAATGATTTGTCGAATTTTTTGCTGTAATATCTGAAGACGATAAAAGTTTCTGTCGTGCTAATAGAGAATAGGAATTTGTTGTAGTTGGAATATCTGACGATTTGGATATTGTTAGAGAACCATGTTGAGTACCTAATTCATATTGATCGAGATGAGTCGGACGAAAGGTATGTAATGTACCTATATAGAAAGAGTTTTTTTTACAAAAATTTTCAAATAAGTAGAATCCGGTAGGATTTTGATAATATCTTATATCTATATTAGAATATTGCATTATCCTGCAAATTTAATTTTCGCTGATAATATGAATCGATTAATATATGAGAACATTGTCATTTTCCTTTTTTCTTTTTTCTTTTTTTTACTTCAATACTAGGCATTAAAGCTGAGCATCGGACAGGGCGGAGAAACTAATCTTGTATTTGATCCAGTTTTTTTTTACAATTTTGAAATAATATGTAATATCATTAGCGATGCTTGATGTATGCTGAAACCAAGAGTATGTGTGTGCAAGGATCTTGTTTCACTCTATCCCCACATTCTATACCGTAAATGCTAAATTAGTATGTATTTTGATGATGAAAAATCAAAATAAGTGCTTTTGTTGTCCTATTCATTCTTAGTAGCGTAACCAGAAAATCTTGGGTGGCAGGTCAGTAGTGAAGATTTTTCACAAAACTTATTTGAGATAGTGTGGAAATGATGGCGATTATTGTTTTTCTTTTGGTAAAAGGACGACGCTTGGTCTGGCTCACCATTGATTATATCGTTACCTGGTCTGACGATCAACAAGACAAACTGACAAGAGAATCCATTTGATTTACAACCTCCGTTTCAGCTCACAGTGTAGATAAAAAAAACCTGAAAGGATTCGTACCATTTGGCCTTTCTTCTCGAGTTATAGTTTTTTTTATTGAGCTTTCAATCTATTGCAGGTTATTACAAGAAAAATCGCAACAAGAAGCTCTAGCCTGAAATGATCCCCAACAATAGCTGTCACGATTCTTATGATATCTCGAAAGTTTCAGCTTCAACGAATATTTTCCTAATGAAATAATACGTTTGCAAAAAAACTTTACTTTCATACAACAACTTCAAAAATAACTCAGTTTTTATGCATACGATATCTTAAGAAGAAATTATCCGTTTGAACAGAAACTTTCAGGATACCATAGTGAGCCTGAGAGCTATTGTTGGAGAAAATTTCAGATCGAAACTCCTTGTTACGTTTTTTCTCGTCATGTTCTGCTAGTCAGATGGATTCTCTCATGAGACAGAAAAAGTTGTTCGGTGCTCAATTCTGTTAGGCATATATACTAATATCAAAATCGATTTAAGCGCCCCCTCCCCTCTCGTGACAAAATCCAATTTTTTTGGAAAAAGCTCGAAGTTGAGTTTTCACCATAAGAAGATGCAGCGAAATCTCCTCTTTCAGAATATAGATAACTCTTTTGGAAAATGGTCAAATTTTAGGAGACTTTTGAAGTTAATTTCGATTTATCAATCATGGTTTTTTCAAGAATTTTCCTGTTGTTTTTTTAAAAATTTTTCCAGTTTTGAGAAAACTATCTTTCGTTTGTTTCAGCATTGAATAAATCATTATATTTACTTCAATATGACCAATATTGGTAGTTTAAATCATTTTTTATGTGCTTTAAAAAATTACACTGACACATATTTTCATTGGCGGGCCGGAACATAATTTTCAGGGGGGGCAATAAGCACTTTTTCGCTTAAAAACGCTTGTTTTCATGGCATTTTTCTTAAGTCCCAGCCAAAAAATTTTTTTTGGGGGGGCAATTGCCCCCTCTCGCCCCTATGCCGGCCCGCCCATGCATATTTTAAATACATCAATTTAGTATGGTTTTTTTCTGGATTTAAATGAAAAAATTCATTTCTAAAACTTCTTTAGCGTTTTTCTCAATACACGGTTTCTAGGTAGAAAAATTGAAATAACTTTCACCTGGCTCAGAATATAACCGATGTTTTTTTTGTTTTAAAGATCTAAATTAGGGCTAACTTTTCATTGGTATGAGAGATTAAATGCTCTTAAGTGCAACTATCGTTTTTTTGACGAGTATAAAACATCAGAATTTTTTTTTTCTAATAAAAAAAAATCTTACCTTTCGGTTTTAATGGTTTCTCTGTGAGATTATTCGTATTGAATTCAGCATTAATACGTGCTAAGCGGTCAAGTTCATCATCATCAACATCATCAACTTGATTATTATTATTGATTAGTTCGTTTTCTTTATGATTATTTTTTCCATTAATATTATTTTTCATCAGATTATGATTATTACTATCATCATTGCTAGTAATATTTGTAAGATTGTCATCAACTTCCATATCATTATCATCATCTGAATCATTACTACCATGTTCGGCCATAACAACTTCAAATGAAGGATATTCAAATGTATCAACATTATCAATAAATTGTACTCGAATATTCTAAATTAAATAGAAGAAAAAAAGGAAATTATTGAAAAGATATTCAAATAAGAAAAAACAACAATAACAATAACAACCTTTTTTGCTCCTGAAAAAATTGATGATTTATTTAATTTAACATTTCCACCAACAATATCAGGTGCACGATGTAAATCAGTTGATGTTGATTGTTCAGTTTTGATATTTATTTCACATGATGACGGTAATGATGATGATGATGATGATGGTGGTGGTGGTGGAAGTATTGTATCTGGTAATGATGATTTTGTATTTCCATTTACTTTATTTCCACCAAAAAATGTAACAGCTTTAGCTGTATTAATAACTGATCGAGATATTGGTAATGATAATGGATTAGGAATAATATCTATTGATATATCTTTTTTTTCTTCATTTACTAAACGTGTTGAATGATGAATAATAGGTTTTGTTAATAGATTTGTTGATAATAAATTTGTTTGATTAAAAGATTTTTTAATATTTATTGAATTTTCATTTATTCGTTGTGTATTTGTACGATTAAATAAAGCTAAACGACTTTTAAAATCTAATGGTTGACAATCAACTGTTTCAGATAATAATTTTGATGGAAGTAAAAGATTTGGACGATGATTAGTTGATAAATTTGATGAACATTCATCAATAATAACACTTAATGGTATATGTTCATGTGATATTAAATTACGATTTGTATTTGATAATTTTTTTTCTTTATTTACTCCTTGATTATTAACTATAGTATTTTCATTATGAATTTGTTCAGTAGAATTTTTATTTGTTTCTGTTGGTGGTGTATGAGATATAACAAGATCAGGATAAGATGTTGAAACAGGTAATGATAATGTTGTTGATGATGATGATGATGGTAATATTGATCCAGATATATTTGTTCGTCGTTGTCGTATAGCCATATCATTTGGTGATATACTACGAGAACGTGTTGGACTTGAAATATCACGATGTTGACTATTCATACGGGAACTATTAGCTGGTATTGATGTATTAATAAGTTTATCGGCATCATAACGACTTAAACGTATTTGTCGTTCAAACATATTTTTAACGGTTATAACCGTACCTGATTTAAATAAAAAGAATATATTGTTCAAATTATTAAAATAATTTATTTATATTGAAGAAATTTGTATGCATAATTAATGGTACTGTTTCCCTTTCACGATCCAAAATTATTGTTTTTTTTCGTGACCATTGTATGATTTGAAGTAGCATCTATCTACTGCTGAGTATGTTTGAGGATCCGCAAATTGTCTTTAAACCTTCAAAAAAAATCAAATTTACGTTGTGTTCGCACTTTTCTTAAGCCAACTTTTCTCATGACAACAAAATTGAACATAGCATCTCAAAGAAAAGAAAGTGAAAATTGTGATTCCAGTATCTCATTGAAGACAGCATCCGAAGTAAGAAATTTTCAAGTTTTCTAATGAGTTGCTCTTTAGAAACTCGGGAAAGGATACTCTTAATGAAAATTCTAGTTAAAATCTAAGAAAGAAATTGTATGAAAACCTTTTATTATCGAAAACTTGAGGATATGTATAATTAGATGTAGGTCGATTGAACAAATAACTTGTGTGTAGCTCTAACTTTGCAATAAAATTAAAAGTACAGTTTCAGATATCTTTTTTTTGTCTTGATAAAATCAGTTAATAAAAAAATGTATTTTTGAATATACTTGTAAACCTTGCCACGACTAATTTCAAGTCAATCAGTATTAGTGTGTTGAACTTAGACTTGCTCTTTTTCTGAAGTTTCTTCGTTTTCAGTTAATTTTCGAATGTAAAAGAGATGTGCTTTTCACTGTGATATTCTCTGTTTAATGTTGCAAATTCTTGACAGCAAATTATTTTTCTTCTTCGCTTTAATACGATAGTGGATAAAAGTAGTGAAACCAAATAAAAGTAACCATAATATCTAATGTTGAAGTTGAAAATTCATCCTCATGTGCTCTCCGTCTCAAATTATGATTGTTGTATTGAATTTTTCATCTTTGACTAACGAGGGAACTACCCCAAGTGATTCATCGCTTTTGAGCTCATACTTTGGGGATAAGTAGGAGACCCCGACACTAGAATAACCCTAAGAGGATTTGGGCCCATGCACCTGTGGGGCTGAGTTATAACCGTTTTACTCGATTTTTGCCCTAGGGCACTGGTTCACCTGCAAAACCAAATCAACGAATTTCGATCTGAAATTTTGTCCACGAAGAGAACTAATGGCCACTAGAGCACCCTGAAAGTTTCAGACAAAACGAATGTATCCTTCTTAAGATATTGAATTTTCAAAAACCGACTATTTCTTGAAAAGAATTAGCAGACCCGGAATTTATTATGGAGTCAATATCTTAAGAAGGATGCATTCGTTTTGTCTGAAACTTTCAGGGTATTCTAGTGGCCATTAGCCCTCTTCGTGGACAAAATTTCGGATCGAAATTCGTTGATTTGATTTTGCAGGTGAACCAGTGCCCTAGGGCAAAAATCGAGTAAAACGGTTATAACTCAGCCCCATAGGTGCATGGGGCCAAATCCTCTTAGGGTTATTCTAGTGTCGGGGTCTCCTACTTATTCCCAAAGTATGAGCTCAAAAGCGGCGAATCACTTGGGTTAGTTCCCTTGTGAGTCAAACAAAAGAACGAAGAAAATCATAACTAGAGACAAGGAAAACGAAACTTGTTGAAAAAATGATACTTCCATTCGATAAAGTAGTCAACAAATAACACACAGAGATGATTGTTTTTTCGTCTCAAACAAACACTCAACTGCTAGAAGTCAAAGAAAACAAAAAAATTTACAGCCAGTAGTTAGGTGGATTTTGCCGCTCGCTAAAAATTACTCATAGTTCTTGCACAATACGCATGAAATCAATTGTTGGAAAAATCCAACTTTACTCAATAACAAAAAGAATAAATGCCCTTCAGCAAATATTGTTCGGCAGAACTGTTTAAAGATACTTTCTGATAACCAAGTCATACACTTTCTTTTTTCACTTTCGTGTCAGCATCATCAATTCGAATTGGCTTTTTTTTCGAATTTATTTAGGAACAAATGTATACTGTTATTGTTATACAACTTCTACTACTCGATAGTATCTGTGGAATATCCTTCTTTAAAACTAAAAAGGAAGTTAAAACAGTTCTTAATACCGTAATTGGTATTGATCTAGGAACAACATATTCATGTGTCGGCATCTATAAAAATTGCCATGTGGAAATTATCGAAAATGATCAAGGTGGTCGAATAACACCATCATTTGTTGGTTTTACACCAAATGGCGAGCGATTAGTTGGTGATGCTGCTAAAAATCTGCTTACATCTAATCCTGAAAGTATGCCTATACACAGTTTATTTACTGATCTGTTTTTATTTTATATAATTCATAGGTACCATATTTCATATGAAACGATTGATCGGTCGTCAATTCAATGATCCAATGGTAGCACATGATATAAAAACATTTCCATTTAAAGTCATCGAAAAAAATGGAAAACCACTTGTACAAGTGTACACAGGTCTTGACGAAAAGTTATTTGCACCTGAAGAAATTTCCGCCATGGTACTCAGTAAAATGCGCCAAATTGCTGTAATATTTCTATTTATTTTCATTCAAACCAAAACAAGCGTCTGCTTTTGTTTGTAGGAAAGATATCTTGGACAGAATGTAACAAATGCAGTTGTGACCGTACCCGCTTATTTTAATGATGCACAACGACAAGCAACGAAAAATGCTGGTATAATAGCCGGTTTAAATATACTCAGGATTATTAATGAGCCAACAGCAGCAGCTATTGCGTATGGATTAGACAATTTAAATAAGAAGGACGGTGCTAAAAATATTCTTGTATATGATTTGGGTGGTGGTACATTTGATGTTTCAATTTTAACACTTGATAATGGCGTATTCGAAGTACTTGCTACGAATGGTGATACACATTTAGGCATATTTCTTGCAATTTTCTGAACGAATAATATATGAAATTTTGTTTTATTTTTAAGGTGGTGAAGATTTCGATACACGTGTTATGGATTATTTTATAAAAGTATTTAAAAAGAAATCTGGCTATGATATTGGAAAAAATATTCGCTCCATAGAAAAACTTCGACGCGAAGTCGAAAAAGCTAAACGAATATTATCATCCGAACATGAAACACGAATCGAAATTGAATCATTTTTTCAAAATCAAGATTTTAATGAGAAATTGACGCGTGCTAAATTTGAAGAGCTCAATATAGATCTTTTTCGTTCGACCATGACACCTGTTCGACAAGTTCTGAAAGATGCCAAATTAGAAGTATCCGATATAGCTGAAGTTCTTCTAGTCGGTGGCTCGACTCGAATACCAAAAGTACGACAACTAATCAAAGATTATTTCCATGGCAAAGAACCATCGCGTAGTATCAATCCAGATGAAGCTGTTGGTGAGTCAAAAATATGAAGAAAACAGATTGACTTCTATGATTGTGTCTTTCTTTTGAATGCAGCCTATGGTGCAGCTATTCAAGCAGCCATACTATCGGGTGAAGAATGTACCAGTGATATTGTTATATTAGATGTCAATCCATTAACATTGGGCATTGAGACTAAAGGTGGAGTTATGTCCGAAATTATTCCACGAAATACTCCAATACCTTTCATACATATGAAGCCTTATTCAACCACTGAAGACGATCAAACTTCTGTAGACATAAAAGTATTTGAAGGTGAACGGTCAATGACCAAAGACAATCATTTTTTGGGACATTTTGTTTTATCTGGTATAAAATCGGCACCACGTGGTGAACCGTTAATTGATGTCACATTTGAAATTGATGTTAATGGTATTCTCAATGTAAGTTTGATAATGTAAAATGATATTTAAAATCTGAGTTTCATTTCATTAGGTCACTGCTAAAGATAGAGATACAGGCAATAGGAATAATATTGTAATCAATGCAGATAAAAATCAATTATCACAAAGACAAATAGATAGAATGGTGAAGGATGCACAGAAATATGCGGATGAGGACCAACAAATGAAAGATCGAATAGAAACCAGAAATAACTTTGAAGCGTAAGTATTTATTTCAACGATTAAGAAATACATCAATTATGCGTTTTGATATCTTTCTCGCTTTCTCTATCAAGGTATGTCTATGCTTTAAGAACTCAATTAAAGCAACCGAATACATTCCTTGGACGTTTATCATTAACCGACAAAACAACACTTGAAAATGCTATTGAAAAAGAAATCCAGTGGCTCGAATCAAAACCGCAAGCTTCAATTGACGAACTCAAAGTAGAAGCTGATCAATTTGAAGAAATTGTTACATGGATAACGAACAAATACGATCAACAAAGTAGCGATTTCAATAGTACTCGGCGACAAACATACGCCCATAGAACTGATTTGTGAAAGTCCGGTTAACTTAGATCTCAATTAAATGAACAAAATCTTTGGATTATCGTAAAATTCAATATGTCGATAACATCAACAACTACGCTGCATGCTCAATTGCTTTTATCCTAGATAAATGATACATTTTCAATCGAAATATAAATTATCAGCAGACTTGTTGTCAAATTAGAGTCATTCCTTGTTCTGTTTTATTGCTCATTGTTCCCAAGATCATATTTTAATCTAAATTCATACCTACACCCACCCTTGAACGTGAAAAATATCAAAAGATTTGCCTGTTCTTTTCAAGCGACAAATGCTATAAAATGGTATACTAATGATTCGTCTCTTGACCTGTTTACTCAATTGAGCCGTTCGTATGCAGTATATTCCTACTGTATTGGCTTTTCGTTCTTTCATTGTCGACCTAAACACATAGTTGATCCACAAGACTAAACAATCATCATTGTTGTAGTATATTTCTTATGGTAGATTCTTGTGTAAGATTGAATTAGATGCGATTAAGGCCCACCCCCCACCCAAAATTTTATTTTTGCCATAGAACATCGAATCTTAACGAAATTTTCAGAGTAGATGTATCTTGGGCTGGGCACCTTGTGNAATTGATATATACACTATAAAAACAAATTTCGATGATCGAACTAATAATCTATTTGATATGGTAGACGTAATAAGTCGGGTGTGGATGTGGATGTGGGTGGGTATGGGTGTGTGTGGGTGTGGGTGTGTGGGTGTGGGTGTGTGGGTGTGGGTGTGTGGGTGTGGGTGTGTGGGTGTGGGTGTATGGGTGTGGGTGTGGGTGTGTGGGTGTGGGTGTGGGTGTGGGTGTGGGTGTGTTCCGCACGCGTACGCGTACACTCACACCTACACGCCATCCACACCAACCCACATCCACACTCACACTAATACCCACCCCGCACCCTCACCCATCCACACCCACATCCTAATTCAACGTCATAACATTATCAAAAAATAATTACACATTAAGTAGAACTAGAAACATGAGTTATATAAGTAGGTATATAGGTATTTGCAATAAAACTCATGTATGATTCCTAATAACTCAATCAATGATACTTTATTATTAGTTACTTTGTTATGTTATTTATTTTCATAATGTTATGGCATTGAACTATATTCATGATAACTTTAGTTCATTAATATGAGTTTACAAGTTTATGATTATGATGTTATTGATTATGATGTTTTCATTTCTCCTATCTACTATCTTTATTCTTTATTTGTTTTTTCTGTTTAGTGTTTTGTAACATCTATAGTCCTGTGAGCTGGTTGAAAATGATCGTATAATATCGAAAATTTCCATAAAAACAAAATTTATCATTATAGATTTCTACATTTGTTTCATTAATTATATTTTGAATTAAATCTCATGTAGTATTTGCTTTTATCTCATTAATTATACTTCTTAGTGCATTATCACAAGCCATTATTACATTTAGCTTTGCATGCACTGAACTCAATAAGTTATGGCAACGATATATCCTATTAGGAACCTACTTTCTTTCTTATTCACCTCAATTGCTTGGTTTCATTTTATTTGTTTTTCCATCTTCAGTATTCAAGGAAGAACTTTATAAAACAAAATTAGCAAATATTCTTTTTCGACAATCTTCAAAATGATCAACATCTACTATGCTATTCCTATTTTGCAGATGCCTCTAACCTGTTGCTTTCTTTAGGCTTCATTTAATCAATAAAATATTTCATAACTATGACGAAAAAGTCATAAAAGATCAACGATAAATTGAATACTTCTGTCATATTCATATTAATAGAGTTCGAATAAACTTTCATCGAAATATTGAATCCATTTTTCAGTGTCGATCAGTCCACTCGAAAACTTCAAATCTCTTTCATGACTTCATTCTTCTGCAAGAAGTGGCATCTGATTTTGTCCCCACTTGTAGCGATGCAAGACACTAATCGATCATCAATACGTCGAGATTCCATATCTTACTAGAGCTGAATGTGATATTAGATTTGTAAGTGTAGATGAAAAGAATATCAATACGACGCAGATGCAACAATTTATTCATCTATTCATACGCACTCTCAGACCGAAATCTATAGTTAGTTCTTTCAAACGTCAACATTTTGAAATATACACCACACGGATGAATACAGAAATGTTTGGTATATATCGGTAAAAAAACGAGTGAAAAGGAAATTTGAGAAGCCAAAAGATTGAACTCTTGTTGAAAGGTTTCAAAAAGTTGATTGACTTTACACCAGTCGCTCTGTTTAAGTGCTGAAATGCATCATTGTCGCTGCAACGAAGCATTGATCAACATGAAAACATCGTTGCACAGCGCTCACCATGTTTTGAGAAACGCAGAACAGAGCGAAAAAGAATCTATTCATCAGTTATAACAAATGGGATTGAAAATACTTGATTACAGACAAAAAAATTGTCGCCAAACGAAAAAAATCGAAATCTCAGTCACCAAAAAATTGTGTCTTATAAACATATTACAATAAAGCACCATCGTATCGATATTAGCTTTAAACTAGCATTTGTTTTCACGGTGAACAAAATGAATCTCGCCAAAATCCATCAAGAATCAATACATCCACGCAATAACCCTTCACAAAAACAATTTTGTAAGTTCTGTGTTGATAACTGAAATCTTTCTCTGAGCTTTACACCATCTCGAAGAGTGGCACATTCACTTTCCTTTTGCTTTCAGAAAGAAAAGTTGAAATGTTTTCAGAATTTGTTATATCAATTACAAATAGGTAGAATAGTCAGTGAATATCATTAGAATTATTATAGTTTTTTTATTTGTTCTCTTTTCACGTCCTCTTTTCTTACGTCAAGTCTTTATCATTTTCGCCAGTTAAATTTTTATCGTTTGCCTATAATAAGAACATGGATTAAAAAGATGAATTTTCTATTATGTTTGTATTGAGTGCTCGACGAAAATTCGAGTTAAGATTGACAGTAGTTAACGCTATTGTTCAAGAGATAAACCACTTTTTATACGAACGTATCATCTCTTCTTTTAGTAAACCTTAATTTCCTATTTCTCGCCGTATCAAATATTTCAGAACTTTATCTTAAAAACAGACGATATATGTGCACATGCTTCTAACACTTGAAATTTATCTAACTTGATAACTTTCTTTTCCTTTCTTTTTTTGGAGAGGAAAATATGGAAAGCAAAACAAAACTTTCTCTAGAAAAAAAAACTGGAAATGTCACTCATATTCATGTCCATCAGCAAACTTGTAATTCTTTCACGCAAATATTGAACTGCATTGTCCTTTTTAGCATAAGTTCTCAGCTAGAAATGATTATAATTCTTTTTAGATTCTGATGCAAATAGAACAGATACTATTATCGAACAACGATCATTGCACAATGTTGATCGATATTGTTTAATCTGGTTTGATACATATATGTCGTTAGAAAGAAATTCTCGCATGCATGCCGATCTCAGACCGATTATGAATGATCTATTCGTTTTCAAAGACTTGGCTCATGCCGAAGGACAAATCCAGAGGTTGAAAGATCAGAAAATATTTCTTATTTTTAACGGTAGTGTGGAAAAACCAATGGTAGCCCGCATTCATCGACGCACTCAAGTGGCAGCTATCTATGTATATTGTAAAAGACCTCATTGGCACGACCATTTACGACAACTGTTTCCAAAAGTTGGTACTATTCCGTTTTTTTTTCGATAATAGTGACTTTTTGCGTAAATACTGGTAGAAAAGTGAAGCAAATAATGACAGTGCAAAAAAATCATTTTATGACCGCCTCCGCATATTTGTGGATTTGGATGCCGTTAGGTGTGAATATAAGTGCAGGTGGCGCATTATATGAGCGTGCTTAGTTCTATATGTGTCGGACTTACCAACGTGTACATACATCTCGGATACACCTATACTGCCATCCAATTCACGACAAACACACTCACATCCACCCATGAGATAGCTTTTGTTTCTAACTACGAGTAAAATATTGCCTATAGTACATAAAATCTTTGTAAATTCTTTGAAAAATAGCAGATAATTCAACCTAGGTATTTGAACAAAAAAATGAATACTTTCAACCGCTTCAAACATACGGAATTCATTCTTCGCTTATGAAAAATAGACTAAAAATACACTGGGCTAGTAAGAGAAAAGTTCTACACATTCTAATTTTTTTTTGCATTTACACCTTGAATTGTTCTATTTCAGAATATTTATTACACTTTTGAATTTCAGCTAAAGCATGTTACGAATGACTTCAGTTCCCTGTGGAACAACTTAAAGAATGATGTGTATGCATATGAAAAGGTGGATAATTCAAGAATTATCACCAGTACGTCGCAAGGTTCCCATGAACTTTCTGAATATCAAGGTTATTTACTTAGCCTGTCGGCAAGTTTGTATAATAGAGTAGCATTCGCTGAGACAAAACAACTTATGATTAACACACTCACAGATTATTATCAGAATAATGAGAGCATGAACAATGTATTGAACGAGTTTAAACAAACTATTGGACCTGATACAGCCATTAATTGGTATACTCGAGAGACCTTAATCTACCGTTTGGTGAACAATGCTTTTCGTACACGTGATCTGGATCTTATTGAAAAGCTTCGATATTTTATTGGTTCTCTACATATGCAGCTGACGTTTGAACATAGTTTATTTGTGGAAAGATGTCGTGAGAGTCCCTCTATTACTGTATATCGTGGTCAGTTGATGAATAATGTGGAATTCGACCGTCTACTAACGCAAAGTAGCAAGACTTTATTTCTAACGTGCTTTACTTTGGCAAGCTTCCAAGAACACGTAGCTATGAGTTTCATTTATGGATCTGAGCCGTCTTCTAACGAAACTCGCGTGCTCTTCAAGATCACAATTAATACGCGTCTTGAGGACACACCACTCTACGCAGAAATTACTCATTTGAGTGCGCATCCTCATGAACAAGAAGTACTGATTATGTTTGGAGCAACATTTCGTGTCACAAATGTTCT